ATGCTCGTTCAATCTTTCTAAAAGTAGTAGGCCCTAGTAAAAGTAATACATGTACCAGGAAAATGCAACATGGCGGAATTAGAATTAGCCGAAGTGTCGGAGATGAACTCTACGATCGAGGCGTCTGGAAATGGACAAATCGAGCCACAGATATCTGAAACATCGCTTACTAGTGACGACTATGACCCAAGCATTCCGACGGATGAGAAAGGTGGTTGCACTTTTAACGGATTTTGCATGAATTTAATTTGTGTGGTGACAAAAAACTAAGGCACGTCTGACAAGTGTCAGTGGTTAGAATAAACTGTGTCATTTACCATGCTTTCATGCATGAATCTGCCGGCGCGGCTCGGACAACTCGACAGTTTTGGTACTCAGAAGAAAGGGATGTAAGCTACCAATACATAGAAATCTTAGGGGAAATGGAGCAGCATTTCTGTGGGTACACAACTAGAATAGAATCCCTGTTCGTGCTGTGTTAAACGTCATGTATGATGTATTTTCTATGGGGTTCGTGGAAGCGGAGTGGACGTCGGACCCCACAGTTCTGGGGGTAGGTTAACAGGGTGTCAAGTGGCGTCCGCAAATAGAGGACTTGCATGGTGTGCCCTCACTGAGGACAGGTCTTTGTTCCTATATGATATGCTTGAGTAGGCCCTAGGCTATTGTCATGATAATACTTCATTTTCATGATTGTCATTAAATATAAATAACAAATGTGTCCCCTGTGAGGGCGCTCCATGCAGCTCCTCAGTGGAACTCTTTCATGTCTTTCCAAGTTCATCCTTCCAGTTTGAGATTCAGCATGTTTAAGTTAGGCCTGAAGTGAATGTTGGCATAGTTGGTCAACTCGTAGGCATGCCACCTCGTATGCTTCAACTCGTATGCCAACCAACTCATACACGTGCCAACTCGTACAGTACGGTGACTTATTTGTACGCCAACCAACATGTACATGTATGCCAACCACCTATGCCAGATACAGTCATTTTCCCAGCACTGGTTTAACCAGTCATGCCAGTTCCCAATCGCTTCGAAATAGTCCTCATACATGAAAAGTAACTACGCGAGAAATCCATTTTTCAACCAGGACTATATTGTAAAAAGCTGATTTTCTTAGTTTAGAAAGAAAATTAGTTCATATGTCAGAATTCTCTTTTATTAAAAAACAGACGTTGCATAGATTTTGACTCAACTTTTTAGCTGCACAGTGAGCTACATATCAAGGGTAGTACCATCTCCCGCACCGCACAGTTGACAAACGCATTACGTCAAAGACATTACTGCTACATGTCTGTGCAAGTAGTTATGTTTGCAACATATTTATGTGCATTTAAGGCATGATCTGAAACGGGGAAAAATATTTGATCAGTTTTCCGCCCATTTTTAAAAACTGAAACTTGAAAAGTCAACCGTTAAAGAAATGACACGTAAATGACATCTTGAAAACTGCTTACAAATTGACATGCATACGATTTCACCTGTCTCGTAATAACTTACCCATTGTAGAATAGGAAAAAATGTGAGCAATGATGAAGTTTATCTGCATTTGAACATGTAGGCTCGGTTGCGGAAATCACACCAGCTAAGATGAAAGTTGCTGAACTCCGCATGGAACTGATGAACCGTGGCCTGGATGCAAAGGGGAACAAGGCCGCCCTAGTCCAGCGTCTAGAGGAAGCACTGGAGGTGCCAGAGGGGCAAGTTTCCAACCAGGAGGGACTTTGGGATGACCCCGAGGATGAAACACAAGACGACGAGGTTGCTGTGATGGTAGGAGTCAGGGAAGCAGTTGAGGATGAGGGAGAAAGTAGTGCCACGGAGAATCTTGAAGAACAAAGTGAGAACGTCGTCAAGATGGACATAGAGAGAGGAGTACAAGAGGAGCCCATGGAACAAGGGCTTGCAGAAGCAGACAAAGTGGTAGTGCCAGAAAATTCCAAGGCCCTCGCTCCCAAGGCTAAAGCTGTCACCAGCCCGGCCGTAGCACTTGCTCAGGATAACTCCGAACAAGAGCCTGTGCCAAAGGCCCCAGCCAAGGCTCAAGAGAAGGTGGCAGAGGAGCGCGAGCCAGCAAAGGGAGCCGTCAAAGCATCTGCAGCTACTCCAAAGAAGAAAGAAGGTTAGTGTTGTCAGATTCCTGAAAAAAGCATCATTTACAGTGTCAAAGACATCCTAAATTTTTCTTATTGACTCCAACCATCCAAGATCCCCCCAAAATCCAGCAGCTTACATCCAGCTTATTTACATGTATCGGGAAGAACTTTTTACAAGTGTGATGTCTCCAAAGCCCCAAACTGCTAAAATGGCACACATGTTTTCCTTTTGTACATGGGCGTGTACTTTGAACCTGATGATTTGCCTTGCAGACGCCTCCACTGCTGAAGGGGAGAAGGGGCCACCTCCAGAGCTGGAGAAGTACTGGAAGGCAGTCAGGGACAAGCCCACTGATTTCACCGGCTGGACCTATCTCCTGCAGTATGTGGAGCAACAGGTAAGAATCCAACAAGTTCTACCAGGTCATGTAGGGCTGTGCCAAATATTTGATCCATTATCGAATATTTGAGTATCATTTTCCGAATTTGAATATTCGAATGCAAAATTCATGAAAAGGAAGGAAGAATTTTCTTTTTTTAAATGACAAAAATTGCACTATTGAGGTTTGTTTCAAGCAGATTCGAATGAAAGTGACAGGAATCTTAGAATGATTCAAAAAGTAAATTATTCATCACCAAATTTAAAAGGAATAAAAATTTTCAGCAGGACAAGAAGTAGTCATCTCTTAAATCTTGCCAAATTGTGGTTCGAAGTACTAGACTAGACATGAGAAGCTATTGTAGTAATCATAATGTACAATTGTGTGCTTACTGCAACTGATTTTTGTATATGGTTTGTTTGCCAACAATCTGCGAATATTTGGATATTTGATTGAATTGAAGGTTGAATCTTCGAATAGTGACAGATTTGAATTGACTCATCCCTAAGGTCATGTACATGTGACGGTTCCACCTCTGCCATGCTCCAGTCATCTTTTCAGTGCTCTTCAATTAACATGTTCCTAAAGGCACTCTTTATCCTTCAGTAACCCCAACCCCAAGGTCCGTTTGGCTAGGATGCATCCTCAGTTGCGCCATGGAAAAATTGGATATGGCCAACTGTCCTTCAACATCATCCAGTGTTTCTTGAGTACATGTATTTTCCTTCGAGGGAGTGACCACTGCCTCAATCCTTCAAAATACTCCAACAATTCTCATCGTTATGTTGAGCCACTGTGCGGATGGTATCCCGGAGCAGTACGCATGGTTTCACATGTAATCTAAGGCATGAAATCATGCATTGCAGAGCATAGACAACAACCTGAACAGGGCATCAACTTTGAGATGAGCGATCCCAAAAAGAGAGCGGCCAATGATCGAACACATAGAAATACATCCATGTATGCCTGGAGAATGTCCTGACACCATTCTGCCTGGTGGGAAACAACATTCCTCAATTCAGTTCTGATGATTGGTAATCAATATACTTGGACCCTCACCATTTCAGCCCCTTACCCTGTGTAAATGAATGTGTTACGCCCCAACTATAGTATCAGTCCCAACTATAGTTGGGCCCGTCCCAACTAGCAGACTAGAGTGCTACAGTTGGGCCGCCCTAACTACAGCAGAGAGGTCCCGCGTGCATGATGTGCCCGCCATGTGCCAAGGTGATATTGTTCACAAATGTCATGTCATCTGTCATATGGCTAGAGGAACAGATGAAGTCCCCCATTTTAGATGAATTGTGTCAAGTGTGAGACACATTGACCTGGATGATGTTGAGACATGAGACATTTCCCACAGACATTGGTCAACAATAGTTGGGCCAGCCCAACTGCAGCACTACAGTTGGGACTGTCCCAACTATAGTTGGGACTTATGCTATAGTTGGGGCGTAACAAATGCATTACATAAAGCAGCTTTCAAATCTTTGTCTTCCAGGCTCATATGCCATCGGTGAGGGATGCCTTTGATGCCTTCCTTGCCCGCTACCCCTACTGTTATGGGTACTGGAAGAAGTATGCTGATTTGGAACGGAAGAAAGCTAAAAATGGCCAAAAAGCACAGGAGGTAGGTTGCAAAAACAGTCATTACCTGGTCAACTTAATTCTAGAAGTGACCAATATTCACTGACTTTTTTTCCTTTTTTTTCTTTTCTTCTCTTTTTTCAGCTTCCAAAAATTTTAAGACAAAGCGTGAAATTAAGCTCTACATATACTAGCGCAGTCAACTTATTTTGGCCTGATCTGATTATGATCAGGTATATATACCAGAATCACAAAAGAACATCTGCAGTTTTAATGTCTTACATGTGTACGTCAGCACAAAAATCACAGACACACATCAAAAGGATTTTGATTTTGGGACTTTGCATTGCCTGGTGATATTTATCTGCTCACATCTGCTTTTGGTTGGACAAATACCAAAAGTTGCCAGAAAATGTCCGGTGTCCATCTGTAATTTCACGCTGTGTAAATAAATGGTTCCTTTGAGTTCAAACATGAAATTAGGCTCTGCTATATTTTCAGATTCTTGGTTTATGTGAAAAAAGCAGCACTGATCCTCTCAACGTGCTAAAAATTTGAATGATCAAGTACTCGTTTCGTAAAGTAATTCTTTTGAAAGTATATTCCGCTTGATTTGGAAGTGCTTAATCTAAATATTGGAAACAAAGGCATAAAGTTGATGAATGGCAGATTCCTTGCATGTACAAAGAGATAATGATTGTGAACCTGACTTCTTTATGGCAGCACTAGGGTCTTTGGATGCATAGTTCAATGGTTATCATGTGTGTCGTAGTCAAAATGTTGCCGATTCCAGTCTTTTATTGAGCCAATTCTTTTGTTGCTGAGCTGGTGCCTTTGTTTCCCTCAGTCTCACACAGATGTCATGGAAACAAATTCATGTTGCGCGGCTGCACAGTAAACCATTATGTCAAGTTGTTGGCCATTTTCTTTTCATAACAGATGACTTTTTTCTGTGGGCACGATTTTTTTTGTGGGGGAAGGGCATTTAATTGAATAATCTTACAACTTTAAAAAAAATGATTATTTAAGTTACACTTGTCACTTGCATGTAATATATAGGTGTGCATCTCAGTGATATGTGCATTAATGTTTGCACTGTCGTAATAATGTTCATGCTGTTACATGGTCCCGCTGGAAAACAAAATGAAATTCACTGCATGAACATGGATGTCACAATACAATGAGAAAAAACTGATTTGGCGTGGACCTGGACAACATAACTTACCGTGTGTTCTTGAACCTATTTACATTGTACATGTATAATTTGTTGTTATGATTTAGCATGTTTACATGAAGATGTAGTTTTGCATTCCTTTATCATTCGCTTCTTTCCACTGAAGACAACAAATCAATGAAATCTTACAAACATGGACATCTTATGTGTACGCTGATGAGCACAGTGGCAATTTGAATTCCTGGCACAGTGGTTAAAACTTCAAAGTAAAGTTTGAAGTAGTTTCACGATGAACTCACATCCACCTACATGTATGTACATGTACTCATATGTATCATTATAGTACAGGTATTTTTCCTGAGCACAGGTGCACATATAGACACACTTACCTTACATACCTAGCATGAATATTCCTTTCTTTTTGTGCATTTAGGAAAACTCAGTGAAAATACTTGTTTTTCTTGAACTGGGAGCATAGTTTTCAGCTGGCTTTTTGTACAAGGTTTCCTTGACTATTCCTCTTCCTTTTGGACCCCTACATGTACATGTACCCCAAAATGCCTCTAAACGTCTTTTCCAGAGAAGGGGAAACGTACCGTGGACATGTGTAAGTCCACAGAACGTCTTCCTTTCCTGCATGGTATGGACATCTTTTGTTCACAAGTCCACACTAGGTACATGTATGTAATAGCGCACATGCACATGAGCGTACATGCCTGACATGCAGCCTTCAGAGGAAATCTCCTACAAGTACCAGCCGAGAATTTATATTAATCATTGATATTAATTTTATTTGAATACATGTTAACTAACCCCACAAAATGGTTGTTTTCAGGATAGGGGCTTAAAGCATTAGTTTACTTTAATACTTTTAACCTTTATTTGCTCTCCATTGTTCCAATGTTCATCAAAAGTGTGATACACCTTTACATTTAAAGACGCACACTTTCTCTTGCATTTCCTTTCTTCCATCTTTGTTTTATGGAGTGTGCAGTTTTTTGGTTGAAGACAGAACAAAAAAGTGAGACGAAACAAAAGAGTGAGGGTAGGAATGCCCCTTAAGTATAAGCGGAGCATTAACCCTCCTGTTGCTGTGAACAATCCCAGCCAGTCCAAAGTTCCTTTCGCTTCTCCTTCTACAGTACAGACATGCAGACATACATGTATCATACGCATGTCATTTGGACTGATTTTGACTGATAGGACAACTTTGTGCAGATTGCGTCTCTGCACAGGAGGGCTCATTATTTTCTGGTTTAAAACCTGCTGCATAAATGTACATGTACATGTCAGCTTGTTCGTGGTTGGTCGGCCGAGATGGTTAATTGTCAGAAGGCTGGCTCCCCCACAGGTGGGCATTCAGTCAGCTGGTCATAGTGAGGTTGATTCTAAGCACCTTACGAAGAATCTGCCCTTCTTGGACTCGGCCAAACCTGATGTGACTTCAGTGCCCGGAGATAGTACCCAAGGTTTTAATATGATCAGTATGCTTAGGCCTAGTGTCATGAGATTTACATTCATGCTGATGAGATTATTACCTGTGCAGTTTGTTTTTAATGTTCATTTGTATTTTTGACAATAATTTTTACATGCATGCTTTACAGAGATACGATAACCCTTCTGTATGTGTGGCAGGAGATTTTTGTGTATATAGATGTATTTTTCATATTTGTCAATCACTTTCACTTGGTGTACATACATGTATTTCACAATCTTTTTTAACATTTTCTTCCCCCACTCACAATTTTAACACCAATGGGATGGGAAAGAGGGTGTGCCACAGTCAAATTTTGATCCCCCAGATCAACTGTTTCCAGGGGAAGACTGAAACAATTAGACAAAAGTAGTCGTGTTGCTCATCACCAAGTGGGAGTGATTTGCCCGGGGCCAGTCCTGATTGGGTTTCTTTCTTTGTTTTCCCTTTCTCATTTTTGGCCTGTGACGTGGAGGTGTTTGAGACGGGCCTGAGAGCCATTCCGCTGAGTACTGACCTATGGATGCAGTATATCCAGTTTGTAGGACAAATAGCGCCACCAGAGGATGTTACCGAAAGGCTTCGAAGGTACTGTGGCTGATTGATATTGTTATAACCGTGTTAGAATGGCAGCAGCTCATGTGAAGCAGTTGTGTGGGCAGGTCGTATTATTCGGGGATGCCAGGTAACAGGCAAAAGCCTGCTTTCAGGCTGTATCAATTGGAATTTTGGGTTGTATGTAATTTTAAGCCTAAGCAACGTATACTTGGGCTCCCCTGGCCTTATTTCATTCTTGTGATATGAACCTGAATGTCATCCCTGATTATAGTAAAACCCTCTGTACCTTCTATCCCTGTTACTCCTGACCTTGTTGAGGGGCCGTCCACAAAGTACGTACGCATGAAATGCCGACTTTTCAGACCTTCTCCTCACCGCCTTTACGCATTCCACAATTTCGGAAGACGCTGTTGGACTTCGTGTGATGAGTAATGTTGCGGTTTACTAATAATGGGCGTTGACATGGGAGGATAAATAGTGGGGTGGACAGTGGAGGATACTGCGTTTGAATTTTGATGCACAAATGCTTATTCTGGTAGTTATTTGTATGAGAAAGTGTATTGATATGATAAGGATTCATTAAAGGCAAGTTTTGGCTTTGTGTACAGTACGCACAGGCTTGAACCCCTTTCCCCCTCTGTGCGAATGGTGTACGTAACAGAACCACACCCCCCCCTTTCGTGCATACATGTATGTACTTTATGGATAGCCCCTAATTTGACATGGGATATATCGTTGAAATGTGTATTGTTGAAATTTACTTACAACTTTTTAATTCGTTTGGCAAGCTATTTATATCTCTCTTGAAAATCAAAAGGATGTGTTCTAAGCTTGCAATATCATACACAATGAGTAACAGGGACAGGAGAAAATTGGACCCCAGATTTATGGAAATTACCCGCCTGGCTTCATTAGCATTTTGGCACAGTTTGTCCAAACTATGACAACAGTGTTTAAACTGCATCGGACAATTTGGACAAGCTCCTTATTCCCTGAGTTGAAATACATGTGTATACTGTTCCAAATGCATCACATTCATTTTGTTTGAACAGCTAAAGACTTTTCTTTTTTTTCTCTCTTGTCTGCGTCTTTGCAGTGTGTATGCCAAGGCTATTGCCGCAGCAGGAACTGACTTCCGCTCAGACAAGCTTTGGGATATGTACATCAGCTTTGAGAAGGACAAACAGGAGTGGCAGCGCGTCACCAAAATATATGACCAACTTCTGACCATCCCGACCCAACTGTACAGCCATCATTTTGAGAAGTAAGGCTTGCTCACAGTGCTACACAGTGTTTTTGTACGTCAGGCTTGTTGTAAAGGCAGAATGTTGTTGAGAAGAAACTGCCACAAAGCAACGTAGTAACTGTTAGTAAACATCCCATGGCAGAAAGTGTAGCATTAAATGTGGAGGAACATGAAGGAAGGCGTTACTTTGGGATATGTTCTTGAAGGGTGTGACAGTTTGAGGGTACCTTATGCTGATTTTTAAGTTTGGCCTTGCCTCTGTTTTGGCCCTTTTGGCAACATTGCAGCAGATTTCAACTTCTTTTTTCCTCTTCAGATTCAAGGACCACATCAGTAAACATCACCCCAAGGATACGCTGTCCGTGGACGAGTTTATCAAGCTTCGGATGGAGGTGGTGGATGCCCTTGGCGTGGCCGAGTCTGGGCTGGACGAAGGGGACGAGGCCGGCGATGATGCACCCCCGGGGGATGACGATGCACCACCTGGGGTGGAGGTTGCTCCCCCGGGGCTTGAGACACCGTCTACTAAAAAAGCTGTCAGTTCTAAGGTAAGATTTTATTGTAGGCCACCATCTGCACATCCTTACTGTGTTGAGACTCAGCGTAATCTATCACAGCTGATTTACAGAGTTTTGTTTGTCCTCGCCACAGTTTACTGCTGCTTTTTCATAAGAAGACCACTTTGTCATGGGCAAGAAAAAAATATTGTGGCTAGTAATTTAGACTCTGACATTTAACACTAATTGCCAAGCATATTGTTTGGCTTACACTATACAGTACCACAAAATACTAAGTAATAGTCTGAGCCTGAAGGACCTACATGTACATGTAGCGCTTCAGATTACTACTTCTGGCTTGGTTACTTCCATTGTTTCTTGTACAGAGAGCAATAAAGCCATGCATTCATAGTGCCACGGCACTGTATGGTACATTATCTTATCTATAGTATCTCATGGCTTCACAGAACAATAAAGTCATGTCCTCTTCAAGTGACAGTGCTCAGTACTACATTTTACTACAAGTAGTAATTTGTTGTATTATGTAGGGTTAGGGTTAATGACTGTAACCTCACTGTGCACTTGAACACTGCAGAAGGCACCAAGCGATGTATGCATGTGCACATGTTTATGGTGCACCCTTTCGTCTGTTTCATGTTTCATCTCCCGACTGCTCAAGCATGCTGTCAAAAATGCCAGCAGTTTTTGAAAAATGTTTCCAGTGATGCCAATCTGTTCAGTTACAAAGGCCCGTTACAGAATCCAGTTCACCTGTCAGTATGGATGCAAATGGAAGGCAGCCTCTACCGTACTGTTAGTTGGGGATCCCAAGGGCCGGGCTCCCCTAACCAGCCACCAAAATTCCAAATTCCCTACGTGACAGTGACCCTGACCCGTAAGCATTCCAGTACATATTACATGTGTCTTGTGTGTCTTCTTTGCTCTTTCATGGAACCAGCAAGTGGAAGCAGAGAACGAGGCCATCAGAAAGAAGGTAATGGAGTCACGGACGGCAGTGTACAGACAGACGGAGCAGGAGGTTAGCAAGAGATGGGCTTACGAGGAAGGGGTGAGTCACTGCTTGACTGCTCAGGCATGGCGTGTAGGGCTGTCCCTGAATGATGAGGCTGTGGCTAGACATTACACGTGACTGCATGAGAAGTAGTTGCAGCCAGCACCATTATGTGATCATGTATAATTTCGAGCCGTAGCCAAGTAATCCAGACAGAGCCCAGTACTTGTAAGCTCTGTTCTTTCCTTTAACCCTAACACGCCACGTCCCTCAAAATCCATTTCCACTTGTGTGTTGATTTTGATGGACTCAGTCCAGGAGGCCAGAGGTGTCCAAACATTGGATTATGATGGACTTGATCCAGGAGGCCTGAAGCACTACCGGGGGCATTCAGTGCATGTTGTCATGGCAACAGGATGATGATGTCATGTAAGCCATGTGTAATAGGTCCATCAACAAAGGCTGTCAAAGGCTAAAGGCCAGTGGTTGACTTTTTAGCAAGACGTAGATTGCATAGGGAGTGTTGGATTTGGATGAATTTGATCCATTGCTTGGCAGTAGATACAAGGCCTTCGGGGGTTACCACCCATGGTTAGCCAGCCTGCTGTTTGACCAATAATGAAAGTTGATGAGCACACCGATGAGAATCTTTTTATGAGCTGAATGATTGAGTGTTCCATTTTACTCCTGCACCCGCAGGCATTCAGTATGATTGTTATACAAGGCTTGAAAAGATCTCGTCATCTGATTGATTGGTTGTTGATGACGTCATGGATTACATGGTGTAATCAACAGCAGTCAGTGGAATATGCCCCACTGGATATCTGCACACAAAAACACCCATTTTCAGGCAGTACTGATGAATGCAAAAAACACCATTCGGTCTTCTGTCAGAGGAAGGAATTTCTGAAGTCATAAAGGGACGGTTATTGGGTTGTTAAATGATTTAGAGCAAACCGTTAGATGGGTCATTCCATGAGGATTGGGTCCAATTTGTGACGGTGTCGTTGTTACATCCAAAACTTTTACCACCTGTCATGACCTGTAGAGGAGGTCGTTTACTCTTTAAACATAACACACAAACCTCTGTGTTCAGCCTTGCAAGACGTATAACAATCTCAATTTGGAATCCACTTGCAGGGAAATAGCTGTTCATTTTTATGGAACCCACTTAACAATTGACACCATCACAAATTGTGCCCAAACCTCATGGAATGACCCAGATGCACAGGAATGTGTGTCTGAAGCAAAAACCTGAATCAGATCGAGAAAACTTAGTGTTCTGATCGAACATCGACCTGACAAAAAAAAGGTGCCTGGGACACACATTCACAAAGGATTTATTCAGGCAATGCGTAGAATGAATAATGAATGTTTCACATACGCACAACGCAAAGAATAATTTCTTGAGGGGGCAGACCGAATGTTCTGTTCCGCTCAGCTTTACCTCACGCCAAAGATTGAATGTTCTATTTGTGCGTGACTGAATGTTCCACATTCTCTGAGTGGAATGTGACTTGCTTGTGATTAACTTGAGGATTATGCTTCTCCCAAGTTCTCAATTATTGGTGAGGTACATGGACACGTTCATGCATAGGCATGTAATGTTATGTAATTTGCAAACAAAGTTATAATCAAGTCTCATTAGTTCGTTGTAACATTTGTAGTTCCTCATTATTAAAGCTGAAAAGTGAACTGCTCTATCAGCAGCAGCAGCAGTTGCGAGTAAACCTTTCAAATTGCACTCTGAAAGATAAACTAGCACAAACAACTGTTTTTGGAATCTAGATCAGGAGGCCCTACTTCCATGCCAAGCCCCTGGAGAAGAGCCAGCTCAAGAACTGGCGGGAGTACCTGGACTTTGAGACAGCCAACGGCACCCACGAGAGAGTCCTGATCCTGTACGAACGTTGTCTGATAGCCTGCGCCCTGTACGAGGAGTTCTGGATGAGGGTATGCGTGGCACTACCAGTTCTACCAAAGAACAGAAGGAAATGTGATAAGGAGAAGAGAAAGCAAATACACATTTTCACCCTGAAGAGTTTTTGTTAGCAGTCACCAGACCATTTCTAAGCAGCTCCTTGGTGTGTGTTATCATGGAGCTCTGTATCAGCATTGAGATATAGTATACATGTAGTAGCTTAACCCTCCTTTGGTTTTACAGCACAAATGTGCCCAAATGCCCACAGTCACTGGTGAGCATGTAA